TCTCTCTCTCTCTCTCTCTCTTTGAGCCATCTCTGCGCACATATTGTATACGTGTGGTGTTGCGGCTGGTGCGTCCTCCTCCATTCAGTAGCCAGAGCAGGGGAGCATAGATAAACACACACACAGACACGAACACCCCGAGAGAGAGAAAGAGAGAGAGAGCGAAAGAGGTAGTCATTGGCCTATTCCTAGGAGGTCGCGTGCAGTCCCATGACCATCCAGCAAATTAACCCTGCAACCGGCAAGGCGCTGGAGCCCGTCGAGCCCAACCACCTTGACGACGTGGTTGTTGCTGTCAGGCGAGTTCGTGACGCGCAAAAGGCGTGGGCGTCGCTCTCCTTCAAGGAGCGAGCACAGCACGTTGAAAAGGTAAAGCGCTTCCTCGCGGACAACGCGGAACGTGGTGCCAGCATAATCTCGCAGTGTAGTGGTAAGACACGACACGACGCGCTCGCCACGGAGATCCTGCCAGGTGTGATGGCATGCGACTGGTATGCCAAGAACACAGCCAGCGTCCTCGCACCGCAGAAACTGTCGTGTGGAAACATTCTCTTCGCCAACAAGTCGAACACACTGCAGTACATCCCCGTTGGCGTTGTCGGCATCATCTCGCCGTGGAACTTCCCCTTTGCGATTCCCTTTAGTGAGATACTCATGGCGCTGATGGCCGGAAACGGTGTCGTGCTGAAGGTGGCGACGCCGACGACGCACGTTGGTTACTTCATCGAGGAGTGCGTCAGCGCCGGTGGCTTCCCGCCCGGCCTCTTTGTCCACGTCGTGCTGCCGGGCGGGGACATTGGCCCTGCGATGCTGAACGCCGGCGTCGACAAGCTCTTCTTCACCGGCAGCGTACGTGTCGGCAAGGAGCTCATGGCCCTCGCCGCGCAGACACTGACGCCGGTGTCGCTGGAACTCGGAGGCAACGATCCAATGATTGTGTTGGCCGACGCCGCGGTGGAGCGGGCGGTGAACTGCGCGCTGTGGGCGGGTTTTCAGAACGCCGGGCAAGCCTGCGCCGGTGTCGAGCGCGTCTACGTGCATGAGTCTATCTACGACGCGTTCCTCGCGCAGCTGTGCGCCAAGACACGGGCGCTGCGGCACGGGCCTGACGTTGACTTCAACGTGGACATTGGCGCCGTGACGACAAAGTCGCAGTGGCAGACGATCAAGGAGCACGTGGAGGACGCCGTTGCGCATGGTGCATGCATCGCCGCACAGAGCACGGCGACCGGCAGCGTGTCGCGCGGCCTTTTCTACCCCGCCACGGTGCTAACCGGCGTGACCGCTGACATGCGTGTGATGCGTGAGGAGACGTTTGGCCCCGTTCTGCCGGTTGTGCCGTTTGCGACGGAGGCGGAGGCGGTTGCCATGGCGAATGACTGCAGCTTCGCGTTGACCAGCAGCGTTTTTTCCAGCAGCAGTCGTAACGCCCGCCGCGTGGCAGAGCAGCTCCAGAGCGGTGTTGTTAGCATCAACGATCACCTCTACTCGCACGGCGTCAGTGAGGCGCCGTGGGGCGGGTGGAAGAACAGCGGCATTGGCCGCACACATGGTGCGCTGGGGCTGCGGGAAATGTGCAACGTGCGCTGCATCAACGATGACCGCGCCCCAAGTTGNGCGGCATTGGCCGCACACATGGTGCGCTGGGGCTGCGGGAAATGTGCAACGTGCGCTGCATCAACGATGACCGCGCCCCAAGTTGGATGCTGCACCGCAATCTGTGGTGGTTCCCGCAGAGCCGTGAGTCATACGACATGCTGTTGCACGCGGTTGCGCTGGTGGCGCCACGGAACATATTTCACCGCATGGCCAGCGCCATCTCGCTGTTGAAGCGGGTGGGTGTGATGCTGAGGCCGTGGCGTGTGATCACGGATGGCGGGGAGGCGAAGAAGAGTGCAACCGTCTCTGCGGCAGATGCCACGCGTCAAAAGAATGCGTAGACGCACGCGGTGTCGATCCTTGTGTGTGTGTGTGTGTGTGTGTGTGTGT